ATATACTCACAGACTGTTCTTATATAAGGATACAACATATGCAGGCTGTGGGGTTCAGATGTGAAGAACTTCCAAGACATACAAAATCGAATCCTCCTGCCTTCGGCAAGTCACGTGAATTAGGGATTTTTTACTTTGGTAAATTATTTGGAGGCAACTAATACAATTATGACTTGGTTTTCGGTTTTCACTGATGTTCTAAAGAACTCGAATGTTTTAAACGCGATAGTCGAATATGTATGTAGTAATAAACATCTCGAATCGAGATTCTGAGTTTAGTTAGTTACCTTCATGGGATTATTGCATGCACTAGACTTAGCTATGTTACCTACTTCAGATTGGTTTCAAAACAATGGCCGTCTCAAAACATAGTTTTTCTCTCTCTGAATTTTGGGTTCGGAACCCTTGCAAGAAGCAAGAAGCAACATTTTTAAGGCCTAATTGGATATAAATAGCTGGTTATGATTGACCAAATATTTATTTATTTATTTATTTATTTTTAACTCGAAATTTTATTCATTCTAACTCTTCTCAATCAATATAGTTAAATAATATGAATCAATCATTCTCACGTTACATCAATTTTAATTTATTATTCATCCACGCATATCATTTTTACTACTCAATTGCTTCTAATCACATCTCTCCCACTTTTATAATACATCAACTGTAATCATTATATATTTTATGTGTTTGTTAATACAAATTTAAAATTCCATTCAAATCAAACTTAATCATTTTTTTTAATTAAATTAACTCGCTTTATTCAATAAATTCAATCAGACATAGGTCAATGACTGCATGCACCATTTTAGATCTAGACATAGAATCTCAACAGTTCGCTCGATTTTCTCGAAAAGCATGAGTGCCGCACATCTTATTTAATCGAAACTCTTGACTTGTACTTAGGGATGAGCGTGGGTCGGTACGGTTCGTAGATTGATAAATCTCCAGAACCGTACCAAACTTCGGAGATCTCAAAATTCGATCTTCGGAACCGTACCAAAAAGTCGGTTCGGTTCGGTTCGGAGATTCTTATTTTCGGTTCTTTCGGTTTGGTATTCGGGACTATTGGGACAGTTCGGTTCGATATGGTTTGGTTCAGATCTTCGGAGATTTTTTATTTTTTAAATCATTTTTGAATGGCTACCTAGTTATATATTAATTTTATATACTTCAAAAAAACAACATTCATCAATAATTCATCATATTGAAGATTTTATTTTGAAATCAATTTTAGAAGTAACTCTAAATATTAGTTATTTAATTTTATATGCTTTAATTAAACTTACATTCATCAGTACTTCCTCACATTAAAGATTTTATTTTGAAATCAACTTTATAAGTAACTCTAAATTTTAGTTATAACTAAATTTGTGCAACTAATATTGAAATTTTAAAATTCAAATAAAATATAATATTTTTTTTCTTAAAAAATATGCTTTAAACGTTCAATTATTTTAAATAATTATTTTATAATAGAAAAAATTCAATTGTATCAAGTATTACGAAGAATAAAATTTAAGTGAAGGTTAATATTTATTATTGTATTATATAGAATCAAAGTTGACATAAAATATATTAATAACACATCTAATGTTATAATTCGGTTCTTAGTTTCAGTTCTTCGATTCGGTACAGCACGGGACGGTTCAGTTCGGTTCTCGGTACGGATATTTGTGAAATCTCCAGAACCGTACCAATTATTTTTCGGTTCGGAGAAAGTCAAACGGTCAACGGTTATTTTTCGGTTCGGAGTGATTTCGGTTCGGTTTTCGGAACGGTTCGGAATTCTCCGAGTCCCATGCTCAGCCCTACTTGTACTCCCAAAAGTTGCTCGTAAATTGGCCCCTGGGTGTTTGCATTGGTTTTGCTAGGAACTTTCTGTAGCATCTCTCGAATCGAAATAAAACCACGACTTTATCTAAGAAGGACCTCGACTTCATCTTCCTTCATACCCTTTCGTAACTTGTCTACGAACAACAAAGAGATGTAGTCGAGCAAATGACGGTTCAACTTTGAAGAAAGGCTCGTGATTATAATTTTATTTGCAATTCAACAATCAACAAATCAGAGTGGCGCAGCGGAAGCGTGGTGGGCCCATAACCCACAGGTCCCAGGATCGAAACCTGGCTCTGATAAGATAATTCAGTAGCAAGCTTCCAATTCCTTTCTTTTTCTTTTATCATTTTTTCTAATTCTTTTTTCTCCCACTAAAAATAAAAAAGAAAAACACAACAGATTGACATATATAAAAAAAAAAAATTAATAATATAATAATAGTAATAACAATAATGATATGGGAAGATGCTACGGTCGGTTACGGAACCATTTCGTCGAGGTTTGTTACTGTTAGATCAACTATTTGTGACGGTTACATGATGATCTAACGATTACAAATCCCGACGGAATGATTCCGTAACGAGACATTAGCATTTCTCAGTGATATGACATGAAAATGTCTTACTAAACCAGTACATAATTGCGGACCTCGTGTTGCAGACTGTGTAGTCTATTTGGCAGTTTGCACCAAATGTATTGCTCAATTACCAATCAATGTCGGAATTTAGGAACAAAATTGGATTCTAACATTTATAATAATATTATTAATAATATTCATGTCAAAATCAGGACATATTAATCAAATGAATTTCAAGTCACATTTGCCGCTCAAGCGCCGGTCAATTTTGTTTGAGATAATGACTTAAAACTTGGTTTTCATACTATATAAAGTCTTGCCCAAATTTAATGATTTTGTTACTCTCATTTCACATCATATTATTGTCCCAATTACCAAACTATGTGATGTATGTATATGAGGACACACAATGAAGCACGACTCGGATAAGTATAAAGATTCCCGAATTCTTGTGTGTCGAGCAATTTAATAGTTAGGCGAGTCGACCCGTGATTCTTTATATATAAATGGCTACGCGTACTTATATTATTTAAATAATGTCATATTTTCGTTTTATATTTTTTAATAATATGACACTTTTTTTTGTACGATAAATGAGGCAAAACCTAGGAGAGGACTATGTAGCCACCAACCGGGGGTGAGCCACTCCCATTAAATCAGGATTTAACCATACTCCGACCCCGGCGGGGGGCAACCGACGACAAGTATATACTTATTTGTGCGGCCAATTGTGATCGAATGGTTAAAAACTCTATGGGCCTGCTCATAGGCTTGACTCTTCCTAATTTATGATCATTATGTGTTAAAATAAAAATAAATTGAAATTTATAAATAATATGTAAAACTAAAAATGTGTTTTTTTTTTTTTTTTTTT